AGCAGATATTTCGCTATGGAATGAACCTGCTAAGCTTTCCCGATCTGTTTACGCGACTGACTGACTCGGACGTTGTTCGTGAGAAAGGTCGAACGCCAGCGAGATGGCCACGCTACCCGAGAGACCTTGCTGGGCGTCAACCCCTAACAGCGGTCGAGGGGGGATTGACAGTGCATTTTACCACAGCTGCGTGTAGCAGGGCCAAAGCTACATGGAGTGCCGAGGCGGTTCCACCTGCACAGCGGGGGACAGAAATGGCCCTCCGAGGCCCCAACGCTTATTGTCGCTTTTCCTCAGCTGGCCTCCGTAGAATGTCACGGTGAGGTGGGCGGTTGGTTGAGAGCAGTGCAGCGTCTACAGTGCTGCACGCAGTTTGCGAAATGAACTATAGGTCACTGTTGCCCCGAGGTAGGGTAGATAGCGTGTGTGCAACGCTAACTCCGCGCAGAGTATAAATAAATAGGTTGGTTATGTGGTTTTAAAATTCGGGGAGAAGTCGGGTTTAACCCGATTCTTCTGAAACATGTTCGGGGTGTAAAAATCGGGTAAAATTGGGTGTTACCCGAAAACGAACAACTCTATTTATGGTCTGCATTAAGCTTCTTCAGCGAAGCAATGGAAGTACTGTTTACCTCGAAGATAAAACAAAGCTTCGTCGTTGCAGCCGTTGCTTGATATAAGAGAGTTTTAGTAAATCGTTCCGATTCCTCCGATGCCCCCAATAACAATATGATACATGCGCAAAGGCGGCAGCGGGGTATTGGATATCGTTATCGGAGTCATCGGACAGATCTACTAAAATTCTCCATTGTCTAAATCGCGAAGCTGTGAAAGTCATCATACATCTAGCCAAAACTAGAATAAGAACTGATTTATGTCCATCTTACTATACCTCCACTTATTGCCAGACAATAGCAAAACATAGTTGTGACAGTAAGGTGATAATTAAATAATAAATAAGGTTTGGCTCGATATTCTTCTTCCTTTGGTTTTGAAGAGGTCGAGCCTCGGTTGATACGTTGGTGAATAAAAACAAAGTTTCTAGTATATAAATATAAGTACTAAAAAAAGAGGACATTCATAACAACTTAGAGCGTCGTTTAAAACAAGGTAATGTAAACGAACGTTTGCCGGGTGTACCTTTCTTGGTGCCGTTCAAAACCGCATGGAGCACGAACCGACTGCAGTTTACTCCGGTGTTCTCCAGATAGACGTCCGCTGATGCCACGGGCAGCGAAGGGCAGAGTACTAAGTAAGCCGCGCTATGGCCCCACTCACGAGTTTTACTCACCCCTCAAGCACAGAATATCAAGACTACGTCAGCCACCATCATGTTTGATTTGTAAAAATATCTGCTTGATATGAGATGCGTCCTTCTGGGGTATAACAGAAAAAAGAAGAAAGGAAGACTCACCATTTTCCAAGTGCTCGCAAAAAGCTGACTCATAAAAGGGTGACTGAGATGCAGATAACCTGGCTGGAATTCACAAATAAAGAAGGCCCACCCTAGAAGTTAAGTAGCTTTTAAAACAGGGTAAAATAATGTGAAAGATGCAGAAAAATATACATCCTGTTTTTTAAAAGAAGATGATGAATGTGCAGCAACGAACGAGGATGCTTGTGGCAATAACACCTTCACATATTATCACATCTCTTTTAGTGGATTTTAGGGCAGACTGAGCGTTGTCTCTTGTTGTGACATTATGAAAATGGTCGTAGTCACAATAACCGAGAAGGACATTGTTAACTGTTTTCTGTGAACTTACGACCTCGAGCTTCTCGAAGAGGCACAGAATCACTTGTGTCCTCCTCTCCCAGTCTTCGATCGCAAAGAAAAAACAAAGGGACTAAAAGAAGCGGATATAACTTGCCCCCCTCCCTCCTTTTTTTTTTTTTTTTTGTAGAAATGTTTTGTTTGGATTTTTTTACATTGTTGTTAGGGTCTAAAAAAAATAGATTCAGGGGAACGGTGTTGTAAAACAAAGAAAGCATTGCGGAACTGAAGAGTGCCAAGCCTCCCTCTGCGCTGGTCAGCTCGCGTGACAGTGTCACTGCGCTCGACATTACCAAAATAAAAACAATCCTTTCCTTAGAACGGGGGGGGGGGGGGGGGGGGGGGTTGGTCCTGAAAAAAAATGTAACGGATTACAAGGAATCCGTTTCGTAAAAAATGTAACGGAATTACTTTAAAATTACTCGAGAAAATATGTAATTATTCCGTTACTAAATTACTGAAAAATGTAAGGGGTTACAAGTAATTTCGTTACTTGTAACGGATTACGTACAAGTCTGGTTTCGCATAATCTTTTTGCTTCCCAGCTTTTTGTAACATACAACAATTCCGCTACTAGACTGCAAGCGGAGGCTATTCGTTGAAGGACGCATTTCGGCTGCGCAAACTTGATCAGCAGGAGTAAAGCGCGAAACACATGTACGACCAAACCGTCCGATCCGACGTCCGACCGCGCAATACGACGGTCGGAGGCGAGGGATTTCAACGCTCTCCGATGCTACGAAAACCCTCTCCCCCCAAGGTCATTCCAGCGGTCCGCACGTCGGATCGGAAGGTTTTCGTCGTACATGTGTTTCGCGCTTAACTGGCAAAGATAAAGCTACGAGCTCGGGACTCTCGCCTTTCAAATACATGAATATTAAAAGACAAGTATTTGTTTGGGTGTTGTAGTAAAAATCGTGAGGAAAACAACAACTATCATATTAACCCTTTGTTTTTCGAGACGTGTTGAGCTTGGTTAATTCCTGGGTGAATTGAGCAACGGGAACGACAGTGTACTTCTATTAGAAATGCCAGGACGTTGGTGGAGCGGTGTCATTTTCATTCTTATCACGTCAGGTCAAGGCCCAAAGTAGTCTCATAAACAAATCAAATCTAAAGATGTCACTGACAAGACTTTGAGTTTACAAAAAAACATAAAAACACAAAACCTCCCTCCCCCCCGCGCGTCTTACGTTGGCCCTCAACCTCTCAGGTGTGGGATATCTGGCCCCCACACTCAAATGAGTTTGAGACCACTGCTCTAGGGAGACAGCTTTACTGGAACCCCGCGCGACCCCCATTGACGTCACAGCGCAAGTGACTCGGAAGAAGGTGAAAGACTTGAGAGGTGCCGAAAGCCTCAGTCTTCGTCTATTTTTAAAATAAAAACTAGGACTTGCAGGCAAAAGCGGTTTTTGTTATTTACTTCCGAAAGGTCGAGACACCAACTTCCAAATTATCTAAGCAAAGCACCGCAATTGTTGCACAGCTCCTTTAAATCAAGATTTCGTTATTCCTTGCTACGAAGCGGGAGATATTGCAATCCTGTCTTGAATTGCGACACTTCGGGTCGTTGAGGAGGAAAGACCTCTCTCTACCATTTATACGCGTGTTTAAACAACGATCATACACAGTCATGAGGTGTGCAGCAAGTGTCCCCCCCACCCCCCTCTTTTTTTTTTTATCCTGGAACCCCCCCTTGGGGAATCCTCTGGATCCGCCCCTTCTCGGCGTGTTATTTTCTGCCATCAGTGTACAAGGTGATTCACGGAGAGGCCAGGCTCCTTAAATAGACCGCAAAATTCAGTTTCGCTACGACTTTGTGCAGCGTTGCCCACAGATGGTGCTTTTTTTTTTTAAACTTGGAAAGAGCGAACTTACCTGAGGAAAAAGTAAAGAAAGAAAAAGGCTTAGCTCCTATGGAAACGCAGCGACGCCACCGGTCTTCAAACAACACGGCGCCGTTTCGCACGGGAAACAAGAGATGGCGCAACGAACGCCGCCAACGAACGAGCATACGGCGCCGAGAGCCGGCGCCTTTAGCAGACAATCTTTTCGACTCAAAAGAGGCGAGCATTCCGCAGGAGGCGACAGTCGCAGAAACAAAAACAGGCGCGGTAACAACAAGGAACTGCAGTTCCTTTTCTGCTAAAGACGCCGGCTCTCGGCGTCATATACTTGTGCGTTGGCGGCCATTTTCGCTACGACCGCTTGCGCCATCTCTTGTCTCCCGTGCGAAACGGCGCCGTGTTGTTTCAAGACCGGTGGCTTCGCTGCGTTTCCATAGGAGCTAAGCCTATTTCTTTCTTTACTTTTTCCTCAGGTAAGTTCGCTCTTTGCAAATTTTACAAAAAAAAAAATAAATAAAAATGCACCACTTGTGGTCAACGCTGCGAAAGTATTACCGCGGTAGATTAAGAAACCGAATTTTCCGGTCGATTTAAAGAGCCTGGCGTCTCCTTGTACCACCCTGTAGACCGGCTCAGTTATGACACTGCCCGTAGACGTTGTTCGCGCAAGCAATTAACACCCCCCCCCCCCCCCCCCCCGCGTCCCCCGGCCCCCCGTCTCCCCCGTCGTTCGATGCGACACCGTTTTTGGGGAATGGCTACTATGGTTACTGCAGTGTATTCTACAGGGCAAAACAAGGAGACGCCAGGCTCTTTAAATCGACCGGAAAATTCGGTTTCTTAACCTATCGCGCTACGACTTTGTGCAGCGTTGCCCACAGATGGTGCATTTTTTTGTAAAGTTTGCGAAGAGCGAACTTACCTGAGGAAAAAGTAAAGAGAAAAAGGCTTAGCTCCTATGGAAACGCAGCGACGCCACCGGTCTGCAAACAACACGGCGCCGTTTCGCACGGGAGACAAGAGATGGCGCAAGCGGTCGCGACGCCAACTGCCGCCCATAGAGTTATTATAATGTACGCTAGAGGTTCAAGTGGCGCTCGTGTGCTGACGCAAATTGAAGCAGACAGCAACCAGTCCAAAATTGACTTCCGGTAATGCATTTCTATGGGAAAAAGTGAGAGCATTTTCTCTCTGCGCTTGATCATAAGAGCAAATATCCCAAATAATTCGTACGTACTAGGTAGCTTGGAACATTTCTCAGTCAGGCTGACGAAATAATTGGTCAGTTATGGCGTTTTTCTTTCAAATTCATCGCATTAAAAACGGTGCTAAAACGGCTTCGTATGTGTATTTATGTGCACTGTCTGCTACGACGCGTCCGAACGGAGACATGCTGGGTTGTGACTTGTGAACAACGTTTATTGTCAGGGACGTGATAATATAGGCAGCCGATGCTTCGGGTGCAAAACAGAAAGGGTGGTGATAAGAATGATAAGTACATTGGAGGATGATACAAAGTTTCCAAGAGTCATGACACATCTCTGATACAGCATTCCTTCCCCCTAGGGGCTATAGGGATCTACAGGCTTCCTTTCTCTGGTTGACCTTCGCAACTCTGGCGGCTGGGTGGTGCTGATGGTTGGTTCTGCAGGTGTTGTATCTTGTACTGCATCTTGTCGAGCGCCTTGCGTTGTCTTTGCCGCTGTCCCTGGTACTTTGAGTGCCAGCGGCTCTCGAAAACGGATCTGGTCAATGTGACGTCGGACTTCTCCCGACGGTGTGTCCACTGAGACCATCCTTGCTCCGGTCGTTGTAGTTACCGTCCCTGGCAACCACCTTTCTCCTTCTCCGAAGTTCCGGGCCCAAACTGGATCTCCGGGCCACAGCTTGCTACGGGGTTCCTGCAAAGGCACCAATGAAGCACCAGGATACGGCAGGCAGGCGTCTAGACGAGATCTGATCTGGTAGCCTAGCAGTCATTGTGATGGCGAAGAACCGTCAGCCAAAGGAGTTCGGCGGTACGCGAATAATATTTTAGCCAAACGCGTAGCAAGGTTACCATGCGTGACCTTTTTTAGACCATCCTTAATCGTCCTGACTGCTCTTTCTGCTAGCCCGTTGGACTGAGGGTGGTATGGAGCAGTGCGTAGATGCTCTACGTTATTTCCCGCGAGGAATCGAGAGAACGATTCTGCCGTAAATTGAGTCCCGTTGTCTGTCACGATAGTCTTCGGTATCCCAAAATGGCTGAACATTTCGCGCACAGCTGCTATTGTAGAATCGGCAGTCGAATTCTTCATGGCCACCACCTCTATCCACTTTGAGTGAGAGTCCACTGCAATTAATATCATGGCGTCCGACACCGGTCCCGCGAAATCCAGGTGTAATCGCGACCACTTTTCTCCCGTCTCCGGCCACTTCACCGGAACATATGATGGCGGCATCGGCCGTGCCTGGATACACGCACTGCAACTCCGGGAAAGATGTTCAATCTCACCATCGAGCCCTGGCTACCAAAGAAGTGTCCGCGCGACCGCCTTCATCGCCGATGCTCCTTGATGGGTCTCGTGCAGCATTTTTAGCATCGCTCCACGTGCTGTCTGTGGCACGACGACCCGGTGCCCCCAGTAGAGCAAACCCTGGGCTACGGTGAGTTCCAACTTCCTGTGAAAGAAGGGTTGCATTTGTGGGTCGTTATCCTCTAGGTGCTTTGCCCATCCGTGCAGCACATAGTCTTTCACCCTGGACAGTAGCGGGTCCTCCGAGGTTAGTGACCGCAATCGTTGTGCCGACAGAATAGTATCATCGAGTTGGTTAACTGAAAGCACATATTCTGGCAGCTCGTCCGTCTCCTTGTCAGGAACATTTATCGGTAAACGACTCAGTGCATCAGCGTTCTGGTTCTGGGGCCCCGGCTTGTATTCTATCTTGTACTGTTATGCCCCTAGCAGTAACGCCCAGCGCTGAATTCTGGCCGCCGCCATGACAGGTGTAGGTCTGTCCTCCCTCAGCAACCCTACCAAGGGCTTGTGGTCGGTAACGAGCGTGAAGTCCCGCCCCAACAGATAATCTCTAAATTTGGTTACCCCAAACACTAGGGCTAATGCTTCACGCTCAAGTTGCGAATAATTTCTTTCCGCCTTTGATAGCGTCCGGGACCTGAATCATATTGGTCTGTCCACGTGTCCGAAACTATGGGACAACACAGCCCCTACCCCATAAGGCGATGCGTCACACTCGAGACGTAAAACTTTGGACGGGTCAAAATGCGTAAGAACATCTGCCGTACATAACACCCGCTTGGCCTTTCTGAAAGCATGCTCCTCTGCTTGGTCCCATTTCCAGCGTTGATTCTTCGCTAGAAGGTTGTACAGTGGCGCCAAGAGGGTAGCCATGTTGGGCAGAAACTTGCTGTAGTAGGTCAAAAGTCCTATGAAAGAGCGGAGTTCACTTACGTTCTTCGGGCTCCTTGCTTCCATTATAGCCGCCAGGTTCTTTTCCGTAGGGTGCAGGCCGTCCTTGTTGATGCGGTGCCCGAGATAGCAGACTTCGTCCTGCCAGAAGTTACACTTCCCTCTGTGCAGCTTGACTCCGTTCTCCTTGAAACGCTGCAGCATCTGCTTGAGCACGCTCCTGTCTTCCTTTCTTCTCTCCGAGACAATGACGTCATCGAGATACGCTTGTACGCCGTGTATTCCTCGCAGCAGGCTCTCCATCTTGCGCTGGAAGATAGCGGGTGCGGAAGAAATACCGAATGGCAGCCGGTTGAAACAGAAGAGACCACGGTGCGTGTTGATGACGGTTAACTTCTTGGATTCGTCATCGAGTGGCACTTGATTGTACGCATCTCGAAGGTCCACCGTACTGTACCTGTCGCGCCCATTGAGTGCCGCGAACAGGTCGTCGATTACGGGGAGTGGATATTGCTCGGTGCAGCAGGCTGAGTTCACGGTCAACTTAAAATCGCCGCAAATTCTTATGGTCCCATCCTTTTTTAGGACAGGGACAATTGGTGTTGCCCAGTCCGCGTGAGGAACCGCAGAGATAACACCGTTTTTGACAAGTCTGTCCAGTTCATTAGACACTTTGTCACGCATGGCGTATGGCAGAGGCCTGGCCTTGAAAAACTTGGGTGCAGTTCCTTCTTTCACATATAGGCTACGTTTCCATGGATGCGACCATGGCGCATCGAATCGAGATGTGACCAGTCACGCGCCCGCGATCCTCCTTTCCCTTCCTCGTCTACCCAATCATAGGCGGTTAATCTCGATTCGATTCGCTACGATCGCATCCATGTAAACTCAGCCATAGATGCGCTGGCGGGCCTTTGAGCAAACCCAGTCCGTCACTGAACAACTCCTCGTATTCTGACAGTAGTTCTTTCAGCTCGACGTCCTGCACGGTTTCAGTTGCCGCCGTTAACTTCAAAACAGGTGTTCCAAGACAGTTCAACTTTTGTATTAAGTCGCGTCCACATAAACTTGGACCTGCGCAGTCTAGGATTGTCAGTGTCGCCGTCACCTCTTGGTCACAATACTTGACGGCAAGCGTAAGCTTACCAGCCACCTGCAGCTTCCCCAGGTAGCATGACAACTTCAGTCTCGAACGTTCCATCTTCGGCCAGCCACGGCAGTGCCTGTCATATACGTCCTTGAGATTACGCAGACCGGCGTACCTGTATCCACCTCCATGACGATGTCGGCGCCACCCCAACAATATTTCCTGCGCACAGGTGCAACCAACTGTTCGTCTGTTGAGAGATACGACTTCAAGGTCAACAGCTGCAGTGCCATGTCGCTCTCATCGCTGCTGGCTTCGTTTCCGTGTATCGCACAAGCTTTGGCTTGTTTGGCACTGTTAGCGCGAACACGACGTCGGCGCTTTTCAGCGAGGGGGATATACGTGCCAAACGAACGAAGAGCATCTGGAAATTAAGAAAGACGGCAAGAACTACGCAGTTACGCTGAATCAGTAACTACACGTGCATGTACGATCAAAATAAATTGAAGGCCACGCAATCTATTCCGATTTTAAATAAGTAAGTACCGCTTTATGCTTTCTGCTCTGAGCGAAGCTGCTTGTTGTGCGCTTAAAGGGGCACTGACACCCCAAAGGTCGTATTTATTTTTATTGTCTAAAACGATGCAAGTTGCAGTCATAAACACGCAAAAAAAGCCGCATCGCGAAAAAAAATTTTCTCGCGCGCAAGCGCGCGCCTTTTTATTTTTGGCGTTTGATTTTCCCGCTTCTCGTCTCCTCGCTTCTTTTGATCGGTGACGTCAAGAATCATAAAATTTAGAAGCTTTGTAAGCGACATCTCTATAACATTTAATTACGGCAATCCTAAAACATGTTTTTTAACGCAATTACGAACGCACTACGGCCCTTCTTTTTGAAATACCGAAAATCTGGAGTTCGTTGTGGTGCCGCCTCCTGGATTTGCATCCTCCAACGGAAAACAGGCGCACCGCTCAAAACCGGTCCGCCGCAACGCCGGCGCCCGCTCCTTTCCTCCTCGCTTTAGGTCGCCATCGCAACAGCAGGGAGTGGTGAAAGAAAGTAGACTCTCAGGGCTCCGCAATTTTTGACGTCAAGGCACCGGCGCCGATCGCGCGGGAACTTCGAATTCGGCATTTGGAAATTGTTTTTTTACTTCACAAATACTGAATTCCCAAATTTCAAATTTTGAGGGTAATGTCCCGGCATCGTTTTCAATCGTTTCGGATAAAAAAAAAAATATGATTTAGATGTGTCAGTGCCCCTTTAAAAGATCACCCGCACGCTCGAAATCTTTGAGAGCAAGTGCCCGATAAAAGCTGCCCGGCAGAGAAAACAACACGAAGAGGCACCTTTCATAGCCCATGGACTTTATTATCTACGTTTTAAATGCTTTTATCCGCTCATGTACGACGGGGTCCATTTCATATAGTGACAGGACTGGCATATTGTCAATATATAAGTGTCACCGGAATGCTGGCGAGCCTTGAACACACTCTATATTTCTTTCGATTGTAATTTTGCTTCGAATCGTCGCTTGTTTTTACACACCTGCTGCGGAACACACGTTTAGGACTGAAATGTAGCGAAGTTAAACATCGTTCACTGATGAAAAAAAATGCGCTAACTAAAGCAATTACACTTTTAGAGTGTCAATCAAGGTACATACTATTCGATGCGACCCAAATAACCAAATTGTTCCTTGTTATATTCCTGCGAAGAGACAAAATGCACGCGCGTTTTCCCATAGGAATGCACAGGAGCACCGCAAAAGTAGACTGGTTGCTGTCTGCTTCAATTTGCGTCACGGAAGTCGCATAGACACTAGCGCCAGTTGAACCTCTAGCGTACATTATAATAACTCTATGCTGCCGCCAACGAACGAGCAGACGACGTCGAGAGCCGGCCCTTTTGCAGAAAAGAAACTGCAGTTCCTTGCTATTACCGCGCCTGTCTTTTTTGTTTCTGCGACTGTCGCCGCCTGCGGAACGCGCGCCGATTTGAGTTGAGAAGATCGTCTGTTAAAAGGCCTGCTCTCGGTGCCGTATGCTTGTTCGTTGGCGGCGTTTGTTGCGCCATCTCTTGTCTCCCGTGCGAAACGGCGCCCTGTTGTCTGCAGACCCGTGGCGTCGCTGCGTTTTCACAGGAGCTAAGCCTTTTTCTTTCTTTACTTTTTACTGAGGTAAGTTCGCTCTTCGCAAATTTTACAAAAAAAAAAAATGCACCATGTTTGGGCAACGCTGCACAAAGTCGTAGCGCGATAGGTTAAGAAACCGATAGGCAACGTTACTAAAACACCTCAGTTGGGAAACTCCCACAGAGACAGCTTTGAAACATTGGCCCCAATCTGTCTCCGAGCACCGAGCTAATGACGAACACAACGCCACCATTCCTCCCGCAGCGGCCACTCGAGGAACTGCACGTTATACTGCTATTTCGGCTTTAAGAACAGATGCAGCAGAAGAGGTTACAGGGGTGCCACCCCCGTCTCCCCGGCGGACGCGCCGCGTCGAACTACCCAAGTTAAAATGCACCTAGGTCAGGACGCGCTACCTGAAAGGACCGCTGAGGTATGGTTCTATAAAAACAATATTAATTGTGCCGCAAAACCCTGCAAACTAAAGATTTTAGAAACATAACGCGCCCCTCTTTTTGTACTAAACTCCAATAAATTTCATACAAAAAGAGTGTTTTCCGTTTGTTTTTACGCAAAAACACTCTTTCAAGAAGCTCAAGGTGACCACAGTACAGACAAACGATAAAGAGTGGCGCTGTTGTCGCATTTAGCTCGGTCTCGGTGGACGCCAGCGGCCCAGGCTTCGACGCGAGTTTCCCAACTGAGTGTTTTAGTAACGTTGCCTATAGGTTAAGGCCTCAAGGCAGCTTGCTTGGAGGTCTACCCACTATCCTTCAATCGGAGCCACTCAGATCTCGGCGTTCTGACGTCACCACAACCCCTGCAAAAAGAAGCAAACGAACAAACTTGCGCTCCACATAGCTTTTAGGATAAAACTTACATTTTTCTAGCTTCCTTCGAAAGTCTGAATATCTGAGTATCATTACGAAAGGTATACGGCGCGTGTAGGGCCTTGGGGAAATTGTTTCAGCCCTGGGTCACCGAATAATCGCAGCAATTTTTAGCGAGGAAGCTCCTGCGATCTTTAACCTTTTTTACTAATCGCCAATTTTACGAATTGGCAGTTCTGAAGATTTTAATATAACTTGCTTTCGTTGCAACGGCTTGCATTTGATCGCAGTGTTTTTTGGTTTGTTTTTCAAGTGAAAAACTGGCGTTTGCTCAAGTGACGTATATGAAATGTCCTGCAATATAACAATGCATCAAAACATACTATTAAACTTAGATGCTCAGAGGTGTGTTCGTCTTTGTAATTAACAAGTTACAGACGTATTTATTTCTTACGAGTGTAATATTTATTTTCTGTAGCTGGGCCCGTTTTGTGCTACTTAATGTCAGTGTGCTATGATGTTATCATCATGCGTGTATGGTTCTAAATATCCTCTTTACAATGCCTACAAAGGCCAAAATGACGTCAGTACCCACAAATATGGCGTCCAGTGAATACTCCCTATATACGCTTTCAGGCAGTTGTGGATGTTCGCCGAAATAACAGACCTCCCGTTTTTGTTGTTTTATTCCGATCACTTCACTTCATCATTGCCACAGCAGGACAGGTCAATTATTGCTCCTTTAGCTGTTGTTGTGTCCTTTCCAGCATAGGCCTTTGTGGAGGCTCGTCAACGCCCGCTTCAGTAGCTCAACATCTCGGTAAGAAAACAGAAGGTCGGCAATGGCGGCTCAATCATCTCCATCAACATCGACATCACTCTTGGCGCAAGTTAAAAGCAACTGGCATTCTCCTTTACCCTTCAGTGGGCATGTGAATGTACTAGCAATGCAGTCGTCTAATCCCTTTTGCTTCTTCATGCAGCTCGTGGCGCTTCTTTGTGCGGGCCTGTCTGCGTCACTCAAGGGCCGTGCCGGCGATAACGTTCGCGCTCCAGCGAGCCTCGTGCTATTATCGGACCTGAACATCAAGAGGATTCCTGGCTGTGTTGTGTCCATTACCGAAAATAAGTAACAAAATATCGTTACTCGTTAGCTTCAAAAAAAGCTAACGTGTTACAGGGCTCCAGTACCATTTTTCGAATGCAACGATTTACCGGTGTCCTTACTTGCCATTACTAAGAAATGTTACTTTTACGTTAGTTTTAGTTATTTTGTGTTTCACTGTTAGTATATCACAGCTGTTAGTATATGACTGCAGCGCCTCAACCACAAACGACTCCACACGATTGTCGAACCGTTCTTGAGAAACGGGAACTTGATGCATACGGTCGATCTTCATATCCTTCCGCAAGGGCTGGTCGGGACAATAGGTAGTAGTGTCGGGACAATAGGTTGTGGTGTCGGAAGATAAGGTGGCGTCTCCGTTAGCAGATGCAAGTGTTGCCACCACTCTGTGAGGGCCGCCTGGCAACATTCAGGCATTCTACTCTGGAGCCACCGCTGCATCTTCAGCCTTGCTGTCTTGTTGTTCAGGACTGGAGTTATCAACCGGCAGAAGTAGACACCTAAGGTTGTTACTCAGCTAGAAAACACCACAATTTATTAATCTCATACATGATGAGTCTCTTTAACAGTCGACCAAGGCAGTACAGAATGACGAAGGAAAGAAGATTCACACAGCAGACATCGAAATCTAAACAACTTCTAAGAAGAAGAAAGAGCTGGGACGACTGACACCCGAAGATGCAAACGCAGCTGTACTGCATTCACCCTCATTAATCTGAGACCTAATGGGTCGCATCTTCATACGCCTGAGCCCCAAACCAAGTTTTAATACTCATTGTGTTTTCGAAATACGGCGTGTCAAATTCACGAGAACAGAATTTCAATCACAGCATAGTATAGCAGCGGTTGAAGTGGACGATACATCTTGTGTACTGATTCTCCAGGTTGGCTCTGAATATTACCTGGTTGGGGTGATAAGTGCATACTCATCTCATTCAAATGCAAATCTTAATTGTACTCTTTCATTCCTCATTTGCGATGCTTGTTTTTTTTAAATTTCGAACCCAGTTTCAGTTTGCTGAATATATGTAGTTAAAGGTACAAACAAGTATTGTCGCTTTCCGTTCTTTCCTGTTTATTAACCGTCGTCTTTCTAAACCTTGCAG